TCTCGATTCGCCTTTTTTTTTTTCTTTTTTTGCCACTTAGGCCTGATTGTCCCTCTTCTGTTGTCTTTTGGCCCTATCCACTTACGCCCTTGGCTGGTGTCCTCTTTTTTTTGGCAATAGGGGTTAAGTGACTTGCCCAGGGTCATACAGCTAGTAAGTGTCAAATGTTTGGTCTGAGGCCACATTTGAACTCAGGCCCTCCTGACTTCAGGGCCAATGCTCTATCTACTGGGCCACCTAGCTTTCCCAGTGTCCCCTTTTTAGCAGCCTCTTCCCTGGGATCCTCCTTAATCTGTTTATTGGTAATCCTGATCACATTCATTTTGACCCATCTTGGTTAGCTCCACGACAACACAGGTAGTACCACAGGTACAACTGGAACCTGGGTGTTTCAGATTTCAAATCTAGCTTTCTATTTACTAATCCATGCTGACTCATGTATTTGCTGGTATGTGGCTTACAAGGTTTCACCCTGTACCTTCTGATGACTTTTTACTTATGTAGGGCCTAAATATATCTTCTCCCTCTGCTTTCCCAACTATTCATCTCCTTTCGAGGTTACGAAGAGAGAAGGAAATCAGATAGGGTCCTGGTAACTGTGAACTCCAGACCTAGGGAAGAATTTTCCCGAGTCATGGGAAATGAATGACAAAGAGGAAATTAAAAGCTCATTGCTATTAGAGATGAAGACTAGGATTCCTGGAATATATGGACCTTGGGCTATTTTAAAATAAGAAGTGGTTATTTTAATGATGAGGAAGTGGAATAAATGGCTACATTTTCTTCCCTCGCCTTAGGACACAGGTGAGGTAAGGGAACTCTTGCTCTGTTGGATGAAATTAGAACAAAAAGATCCAAAGAAGCACATGTTTGTTTACCGTTTATTACAAAACGACCTACATAGACATCAATTTTCATAAGGTCTACAATAAGACACAGATCTTTCCTCTCCAAACTCAGAAGTAACACATAGATTTCTATGGGTTTGCTGGTTCACAGGGCCATTTTCTCATCTTAATAATTTTGAAGAATCTTGGTCCCAGTGGGAGAGGAGACCCCATTCTGATTAGTCAAGTCCCTGATACCAAAGTTCTATTAGAGATTATCTGTGACAGGATGACAGCTTTAGGATTTCCACCTCTCATCTTCTCTCCACAAAAGTAAAATCAATTGATGAAACCAAAAATGAAGGTAGAGGTCAGGAAGGGGAAACCTAGCTGTGGCCGTAATTCAAAATACTAAGAGAATGGGGGCGCAAAAGGAGGCTGATGGCCAAGGAGAGAAAAGACACCAGGATAGGTGGGGAGAGAACACAGTAGAGGAAGGCTCAGCCATGGGTAAGTGATGCTGGCAAACCGCAGATGTACACAGGGCTTCATTTTCTCTTCTTGTGCCGGGACACTCGCTCTACCTCCAGGTACTGTAGTCCAAGCAGCATTCCAAAGACAGAGAAACCTTAAATACACAAAAAAAGGTCACCAGTCAATCAAATATTTGGCATGAACATGGTGATTATCATACCTTTTGTCATTTCATTCCTCCCCTCCCACATTTAGACCCAGCTTAGAAGGATATGAACTATACTTCAGTGAGGGGGAGTAAGGCAGCTGCTTTATACTCACTTGCCACCATCAATGGGGCCAGGACTCCAACCGTTGGAGCAGCTGTCTCGAATACAAACACCTCAGTGAGAAAGTGTCCCAAAGCAAGGAAGAAGGTCCAGAGTGTGATGTGATAGAGACTGCAGATGAGCAGACAGTAAGAGTATGAAGTTATTGTTTTATGGGGTGCAGAATATATAACTCTGCAGCAAAGAATCCAGTGGCCAACAACATATAAAAACATTCAATGGGAACAGATGATTCTGGCAAGAGAAAGCATATGCTTCCCTAGTTCTCAGGGGAGTTCTAGAAACAAGCTGCATTCTGCCTTGGCATTTTGGAGACACCATCACTTCCTCAGGCATAGCCCAAGTCAATACAGCCAAAGAACCACAATGACGGTTTCCATTTGCTAGATAAGTGGGATATCCAGGCAGGGGCGACTTTCCATGTATCAGCAAGCGGATACAGATCCAGCGAAACAGAAGGCTAACCCAGTGACTTGCGAAAGAGGTACAGACATGCTGCAAGAGTTCACTTTGGGGAAATCATGATGAAGAAGGTCATTTGTGAGACAGGCTTTGAAGGATAACTAGAACCTGCCCTGATGAAGATAGAAGCATAAGATGGCATTTGTATGAAGCTTAAGTTTTGCAAACCACCAATTGCCCTCAGGGGTCCAACCTTTACATGTTTTCTCATGTAATCCCCACAACAAACCCTGTAAGGTGAATTAAGAGATTGGGGCCAGGGGCTAAGTGACTTTCTCAGATCACTAAGCTAGTCAGTATTTGATGTGACTTCAAGTTCACTCTAACCATGGGCAGATGGATAATAGTTTGGGGACTAAAAAGGGCTGAAAGAAGGGACTTTGGAATTGTCCTATAGAAAAGATCACTTGTGATGGCAAAGATAATGCTGTGGGGAGAAGGGTTAGTAAAACAAAAGAAATGACTAAAGGTTCAGTGTATTTATTCTAAGAGCAAAGAAAAAAATCTACCCTTATATATAATAGGAATATTTCATCTTGTATAGCATTTCTAATATTGTTTTATTTTCAAAAATAGTTCTGAGAGTTACGTTTAAGTATTACCTTATTTTATAGATAAGAAACTGAGGCAGGCATGGCCAATCGCTAGCTTAACAACTCGCATCTAGTTAGTGGGAGAGCTTGGACTGGAAGGAACTTCAACAAGCTGCCTTCAAAGTCATACATCAGCTATCCTTTGCCGACCTCTTCAAGGGCTGCCTCTGGCCACAGCACAACCAGCTAGCAGATGACACACACATTCAGGAAACAACCCATCTCTCATCTTGGCAAAGGGGTGATTCTTTGGCAGGAGTCACACTTAAGGATACAGGGGTAAAATGGAATCATTTCCAGTTCAAAATATTACAATGAGCCTGTGGAATCTATAATGAGAACAGCCTCTTTCTAAATCCCTCAGAGCTGGCCTCTCTCAGTTCAGTTCACTTTGGTGTCCTAGTCACTAGTCCCAGGGACCGGGAATGAAATTCTAAAATGAGTATAGAAAAGCCGAAGTCTTAAGAATCCTGGCTTTTCAAGGCCTCTCATCCACGGATGCGCCTCTCAAAAAAATGCCTAGGATTTTGTTTCTGTAGTGAGTGCTACAGAAAAGAAAGCTTTGAGCGCCCTCTTGTGGTTCCAAACAGGGTAAAACTAAGGATGTTAAATAGGAGTGCTTTTCAAATTAAAATTTGGCCCTCAGACACTTTGAGGTTTGAAATATATTGATAGAACCCATAAATACTAGTCCAGTGGGTTAGGGTAAATGAAAGTCAGGAAAGTTTCAGAGGAAAATAAGCCTATTTTCATACTGAAAAAAAAAATACCACACAATATAAATATTGGCCTCTATACATAGATCTGGGGCAGCTAGTGGATACAGCACTGAGCCTGGAGTCAGGAAGATCTTAATTCAAATCTGGCCTCAGACTAGCTGTCCTGGGCAAGTCACTTAACCCCAATTTGCCTCAGTTCCTCATCTGTAAAATGGGTACTCATTGGGAGAAGGCAGTGGCACACCACTCCAGTATCTTTGCCAAGAAAACTCCATGGACAAATCAGGCACAGCTGAATGACTGAACAACAACATGCATAGCTCTAAAACCATAATACTTTAGATGGGAAAATACTGCTATCACTGAAATTCTTTCAAAGACTTTTCCTCAACTCCCTAGCCCCATTCATAATCTGTGAAATACTGCTTTTGAAATGCTGGTGTACAAGATTAAGTTACTCTCTGATTTTGAACCAGTTTGAAGCGATGAAGTTTTCTTCTGTAAAAACAGAGTTGGTCATAGAATGCTCACATACTAAAAACATACAAATCTCCCAGTATAAAGTGAGGCATTAGATAGAAAAGTCAGGACCTCTAGACTTATTTCTAATGACTCACTACATAATTTTGAGTGCCCTAGCTTCTCTGGCTTTAAGAAGAGGATTGTGACGCCTAATTTCCTCTGCTTTCTAAGGGCAGAGTTAAGTGTATATAAGGAGATCTCTTCTAGGTAACAATGGAGACAATGTTAAAAAAAATGGGCACCACTAGGTCAGCAACACAATTTACACTGTTGGCTCAACAGTATCTTAAGATCTTAAAGACACCATTAAATCACTTGAGGATCTCAGGCCCTAGGGGAGCAGAAGTGATTAACTTTGTTATCAATATGAATTGAATGTAATTATGATTAAGAAACTGGATGAGAATGGGGTTGTATGTTTCCCTGGTGTCTGAATCCCAAAAGGACCCTGAAACTCCCCTCCCTTCACTTACGTCTTGTTGTGGATATCGATGGCACAGAAGCAGCGAATCACTGACGAGAGCAGAGTCCAGATGCCAAAGGTCCGGGCTTGGAGGCCATTTACTGTGTGATAGAGAAATGGCAGAAAGAAGCTCAGGAGAAGAATGTCAAAAGGGTGTATTTCTACCAGGCTCCAAAAATCTGAACTGTAACCAAGGGGAACTCATGGGAGGTAGGGAGCTGGACTTGAAATTACTCTGGCTGGGCAGAGGAGAAGCTGTGATGTGTGTAACATGGGGATTGTAAAGGACTTCTCCTTTTGAAGAAATGTAGAAAATGGGTCAGGTCTCTTGAAAGTGAGAGTTGCTGAGCTATAACATTTTCTATTGGTGGGCAAACAGGGCACCTGTCATAGAACTTCAACCAAAGCAATTACTTATTAAGTATCTGTTAGGAATTAATCATGCTACGTACTAGAGAATGTGGGAAAGAAAAAAACATTAAATTACCCAGCCCTTCACAGAGTTCACAAATCTAGAAGACAGGTTAGAATATATATATGTATATATATATATATATATATATATTCTAACCTGTCTGTGTATGTGTATATGTATATGTATAACTAATACACACAAAGATACTGATGTATAAGAAAGTCCAAATAAGTTTACACAAAGTTCATGGTGGTAGAGGGCAAGTAGGGAGGGAATAGAAAGATTGTTACTGTTTAGGGTGTAGTAGAAGAAATCAAAGAACGCTTCACGAAAGAAATAACAGTTGGGCAAGGCAAAATTTCAACTGGCAGAGAAGGGAGAGTGGTGGTAGAAGGACATTCCAGGTACATAGAACAACAAAAGCAAAGATACACAGGTAAGTCAACAGAGGATATACATAAGGGATATCAATTTTGGCTACAGGGAAGTACGAGAAGAATGAAAAAGTAGAGTTCGTGACAGATTGTAAGATTTTATTTTATTTTATTTTTGGCTAGGCAATGGGGTTAAGTGACTTGCCCAGGGTCACACAGCTATTAAGTGTTATGTGTCTGAGGCCACATTTGAACTCAGGTCCTCCTGCCTCCAAGGCTGGAGCTCTATCCACTGCGCCACCTAGCTGCCCCAGATCATAAGATTTTAAACAGAGAAATGACACAATAAGATTGTACATAAGGAGAACTAATCTGACAGTTCTACAAAAGATGGATTAGAGGAGAGAGAGTGGAAGTAGGAAGACTGGTTAAGAGACTATTGAAATAGTCCACAAAGAAAAAAAATCTTTGTATCAAAATACTGATGAGGGTTTAGTATCCAAGATATATAGAAAACTAACAGAAGTATTAAGGACAAAAAGCCAATCCCTAAAAGAAGTGGTTGGAGCATATGAACAGACAATTCTCAAAAGAATAATTGCAAACTATTAACAACTATATCAAAGAAATCTCCAAATCACTAACAATTAGAAAAACAGAAACCTCCAAGGTTGTACCTCACTCCCAGCAAATTGTCAAAGACGATAGGATATGGGAATAGTCGATGTTGGAGAAAGTATGGAAAGACAGGCATAGTAATGGATTCTTGGGCGAGCTGTGAATTCTGGAAAGCAATCTGGAATTATGCAGATAACAGGCTACAATGCTCATAAATTCTGACTGAAAGATTCCATGGCTAGGTAAATATCCTAAAAAAGTTATTGACAAAAGAAAGGTTCCAAGTGTACTAGCATGTAACTGGATAGCAAATAACTGGAAACAAATTGTGTTGTATGAATTTAATGAACTATTTCTATGCTGTAAGAAATGATGAGTAAGATGAATATAAAGAAACATGGGAAAACTTACAAGAACTGATGCAAAGTGAAGTAAGTAGCCAGAAAAACAATGTACATAATGACTATACCAATGTAAATAGAAAGAACAAAAACTATTCATGAAGATGAATGGCAGGAAATGATAAAGAACACACTCGATCCCAAAGAAGAATCTCTTCCATGCTCCTATGTAGAGGGAAGGGGACCCATGGTTATGGAACATTGCATACAATGTCAGATTTCTAAAAAATATATTGATTTGTTTTGCTAATTTCCCCCTTCTTTCCTTTTTTTTTTAAAATTCTTTGTTATAAGGGATGAGTCTTTATGAGGAGGGTGAGACACAGAGAAAAATCTACTTGATATAAAAACAAAAGGCACTAATAAAAATCTACTAACAAAATAAATCGCCAAGGAAAGTGGTAACAAAAGCCTATAGCAATGGGTTAGAGATACAGAATTTTAATTGGATATGGCATATGAGGAAGGAAGAAACAAACAAATCCACTAGCTCAAGGTTTTAAACAGTCTGGATAAGCATAGAGAGGTTCATCACGAGAAGGTTGGACACAAAATCATAGGTAATCTTAACTCTAATTATATAGTTCCACTTTATGCCGTCCTCTACTTTCACATCCCTTTCCCCTTTGTCTCATTTTCACTTTTCTTCTTCCAAACACTAATATGGGTATTTTACTCACCCTTCACCAACAGAGAAGGCTCTGTTCCTACTCACAAACTGTTGAAAGATGCTGCAGGAAAATGCACAACTGTGCTGATTAGTTCTACTACAAATTTGTCATCTAATCTCTACCAGTCTCTCACTGCTGTAAGACAATTCTTCTGCTCTTCCCTGATTGACTTCCTCTCACTTTTCAGAGCACATATTCCAAACTTTCTCTTATCCCCTAAAGTCACCTATACCACCACCAGCTCTACACCACCCTCTGCAGGAGGCTTTTCCTGTTCCCCTTCTCTCTCCCCCCTTCCTTTTCTAGCTGCTAGAGTTTTCTCTTCTAAGATCACTTTCCACCTACTTGAGCTGTATCTGCTACGTAACTATTTATTGACATACTATTTCCAACAGTAGAACTGAAACACCATGAAGGCAGGCTTTGTTTTTTTTTATTTGTATACCCAGTGCTTAGATAGATATAAATAGACATAGCACTTATTAAGCACTTACAGGGATACAAATACAAGAAAACAAGATGGTCCCTGTGTGGAGAAAATATCAACAAGGGGGAAAAGCTATTAGTGAGAAGTACAGAGAGTGAGTTGAACAGGGAATGAAGTGGGCATGGCTGGGGTTCCTCATGAACTCACCAAACAGAAGAGTTTGCCCCAAGACCTTACTCAGCATAGTACCTAGCAAATAACAGGTGATTAATATATGCTCCTCGACAGACTGACTGATTGTCCCAGTTTAATGATGATTTAGTTTCATACTTTACTGAAAAACTGAAGCCATCCATTGTATGATCCCTCTTCTCCCCAATTTTATACCCAACCCCCTTCAATATCAACTTCTCCTCCTTGCTCCAGTCTTAAAAAATGGTGGTTCTCCTTGCCAAAGTCAGCCCTTCTACCTGTGTCCTTGATCCCATCCCCCAACTATGATGTTTGCCCCTTTGTTTACCCTCTCTCCTAATCGCAATCTCTCTTTAGTAACCACTCCTTATTGCCTGCATCCTACAATTATTCCCAGATTTCCCTGTCCTTAAAAAACCTTTACTTGATCCAGCTAAAACCTAAGTTAACAACCTGTAGCTCTCCTTCCTTTTTTTTTGTTTAAAAACTAAAATGAAAACTGTATGACCAGGGACTACTAATGCAGAATGCTTTATACATTTTTAAGATGATCAAGATAAAATAGAACTGCTCTCAGGCTTTCTGTTTAATTAGACTCCCTCTATTGACCTGATGATGAATAGAGTTCAGAAAGAATATACAATCAATCCTCAACTTTCTTGGAGGTAACAGTCTTGGAAAATTGGGATGAAAGCAAAAAACTTGAATGATGATACACTGAGCCTATGGGAAATAGGGGGTTAGGTTCCCATGACCACCCCAAACGGTAATCTTTTGCTAGAGATTGCTGAAAAAAACTTTTTTTGCATAAAATTCTTTATAACAAAACATTAATTCTGATAATATGCATTTTTCCTAACATAGTAACCATGAAATAATCCATAAAATAAAATAGGTAACATACTGAGAAAACCAAATGTTGATTTTGTATTTTTCATTTGATTCCACTCTGTAGTTGATTCTATTCAGTATTTTATATAACAACCCAAGCCCTTTTTTCTGTCTCTGAGTAAAAAGGCTCATGAGTTCAAAAGTTCAGTCTTCCTCTCTCAATTTAAATGCAAAAGTTTAGTTTTCACTATTGATCACTTTTGATTACAGAAAAACCCTGAGCTAAGTTTGGAGGTTCAATGTTCTCATAAAACTAATTCAAAGGGAATTATCTCTACATTGACTACAAATCACTTTATGCCAAGAAAACTTGTTATTCCTCATAACTTCAGCTCCCGGAAGACTCCATAACCTCTATTTGCTACAAATTCACTTGGTTCCACATTTGCCTATTCTTGCCCAATTAAAAAGAAGTCTTATTATTTCACTCCCAGGAGCCAGTGAGTCTGCTATCCCTGATCCATTCTAGCCTCAGAATGCAGATGGGTGCCATAAAATCAATCAAGCATTCCTCTGAGAGGGGTAGTTACTGGCTCCATGTGAGGGTTAGCCCATTTTTCTTCAGGTAAACATGTTGTCTTCACCCCCACAATCCTGCCAACCATATAACCAATTGTGTTACTTCCTCATCTACCTTGTTCTGTTTTTTGTTCTATGTTTATAAAAAGGTACTGTGCTTCCTCCTCAGGGTCTTTTGACCTAACTGAGGTAGCTATTTGACACACTTTACTAACAAGTCCACACCCTGCTAATAAACTGTTATCTTGCTTGGAGAAAACATGCCTCAGTTTATTTTGGTTGAATTTTACTCATGACAATGCAAAACAGTTTTCCCCACCGGTAGTTCCCTAAAATTCTATTACCTTTTTTTTTTTTGGCTAAGGTCTTAATAATAATAATAAAAAAACATTTCAGACAATATTCACTTTTCATAACACATGAAATCTACAGTACCATAAATTTTGTGGTTGTTGTTCAGTCGTTTTTCAGTCATGTCTGACTCTTCATGACCCCATTTGGAGTTTTCTTGGCAAAGATACTGGAGTGTTTTGCCATTTCCTTCTCCAGCTCATACTGTACAGCAAATAAAATTCTCAAAAATAAAACATTTT